CGGGTGTGGGTGGGAACGGGCACCCCCGCCCCTCCTGGCCCTTCCTGTCCGGTGACCCAACCTTGTGACAGGGTTAGTGGGGCAACCGGCCAACGGCTGATGCTATCGCTGCCGTGGGCACTGTTTGTCCAGGGAGGGGCCCCCCAGTCTTCTTTTAAAATTTTTATTGATTTTAAGAGAGAGGAAGGAGGAGAGAGAAACATCGATTTGTTCCACTTATTTGTGCTTTCACTGGTCGATTCCTGCATGTGCTCTGATGGGGTCAGACCTGCAGTGTTGGGGTCCTGGGAGACCCGGACCAGCTGAGCTCCCTGGCCAGGTTGGGGGCGCCGCTCTCACCCCTTCCCGGCTGCCCAGCTGATGGGAAGGGCTGGGCGTGGCTAGAGAGAGGGCGGCCCTAGGAGGCCAGGGCCCAGAGCGAACACTACTCCCGGTTAGGAATGTGTGCCCCGGGGTTAAAGCTTCCTGGGAACTTCCCTTTTTGCCGTTGGTCAGACTGGGTGACGATGGGTCATCCTCCCCCTCAGCCGTTTTCTGGGGGTGAGCATCTGCCGCTCCGGGATGGGGTTAAGGCTGACTCCTGGGTGCGCCCGCTGCCCTCCAGATGGGTGTGGGTCTGGCCTGACCCCGACCTGCTTCCTTCGCAGGCCTGTGCAGTGGGATTGATGGCTGTGGGCATAGGGGCCCTGTTCATCTTCAATCAGACGGTCAGCCAGGGGACCGCCAGCTCCGTGCTGCCTGTGGTCATCATTGCAGTGGGTGCCTTCCTCTTCCTGGTGGCCATTGTGGGCTGCTGTGGGGCCTGCCAGGAGAGCTACTGTCTTATGTTGACGGTGAGTGGCCAGTGGGGCCAGGGGTGTGTGTGGACTTCTGGAAGGTTTCTTCTGTGGCGGGGCTCAGGAGGTGGGTAGGCGCGGAAATCCGTTGTGAGTGTTCCAGACACTGGCTGGGCCACAGCAGGCCCCTCTCACCCGGACTCCAAACCTGACTCCTGTCCTTCGTGCCTGCAGTTTGTCATCTTCCTGTCTCTTATTGTGCTGGTGGAGGTGGCCACCGCCATTGCTGGCTATGTGCTTCGAGACAAGGTAAGCAAGGAATAAGGGGAGAGCCTTCCCTCAGAGGCTCTGCGGCCCAGGTACCCTGCATTCTGACCTCAACTTCCCTACTCCCAGGTGAGGTCAGAATTTAATAAGGACTTCCGGCAGCAGATGAAGAATTATCCCAAACAGAACCAGACAGATCTTTTCCTGGACGAGATGCAGAAAAAAGTGAGTGGGGTTGCTGGGATCAGGGGTAATGGAGGAAGAAGGCTCTCATCTTCATATTGAAGGTGGAGGTTCACCTAACAACCTCCCCCGTATCTCTCTTCTCCCCCAGTTCAAGTGCTGCGGGGCGGCTAACTACACAGATTGGGAGACGGTCCCTCTTGAGCCCAAGGACCGTGTCCCTGACTCCTGCTGCATCAACGTCACTGCGGGCTGCGGGGTTAATTTCAAGGTGAAGGACATCCATACTGAGGTAGGGAGAAGGCTGAGATGAGATAGCAGGGCACTTGGGAAACCTGGGAAATGTTTCAAGAGATGAGAGGAACCAGGGATGGAGGTGGAGAGGGTTGGGGCTCTGAGAAGTTGGGGATCAGGAATGGGGAGGGGATCTGGGAATGCTAGGGGTGGGGAGAAAGGTATAGAGCAGCAGTTCTCAACCTGTAGGTTGCGACCCCTTTGGGGGTCGAACGACCCTTTCACAGGGGTCGCCTAAGACCACCGGAAAACACATATATAATTACATATTGTTTTTGTGATTAATCACTATGCTTTAATTATGTTCAATTTGTAACAATGAAATTGGGGGTCACCACAACATGAGGAACTGTATTAAAGGGTTGTGGCATTAGGAAGGTTGAGAACCACTGGTATAGAGGGTGGTGAAGAGACAGATGGACACACGGGAGGTGGGAGGGAAGTTTTTGATGGTGTCCTCGACCTATTTGTCTCTACCCTCAGGGCTGTGTGGAGAAGATTGGGGCCTGGCTGAGGAGCAACGTGCTGGTGGTGGCTGCGGCAGCCCTGGGCATTGCCTTTGTGGAGGTGAGAGGCACCCTTGGGACTCATTCCAGGGCATCTGGAGAGTAGGGGCAGCGGGCAGGAGGTGCTCATCTGGGGAGGGGAGCCCTGGGTGTGTTTGGGGCTCTTGGGTGGTTGAGGGTACCTTGCCTTTCTGACTCCTCTCACTACCCCCCCCCCCCCCCCCCCCCCCCCATCTTTCTTTCTAGGTCCTGGGAATTGTCTTTGCCTGCTGCCTTGTGAAGAGTATCCAAAGTGGCTATGAAGTGATGTAGGGACTCTGGTCTCTTTAGCCCCTCATCTAGGAGAGAGGGGTAATATGCTCCACATTTTTCAATTAAACTGATTATTTTTTCAGACCAAAAAGACTGTTTGTCTTGAGTGATACTTTATCCCTTTCTCTCCTCATCCATGCTCCTGTACTCCGGGCCTTTGTTCTGTTTGCACCTCCAGGAAGGAAGGCCTGTTGTGGGGGGTGTCTGGGAATGGTTGGCTGGGCTGGCCGGGGAAGCGGGATTGGGAGGAGGCTGTGGCCCACTGCCCTCCCCATCTCCTAGTGTGCTGCTAGGCTCAGTACTGCAGTTAAACCCACAAAGGTCCTACCTGGGAGAGGCCCGCCATGACATCTACCACGGACGTCTCCTTGGCCTTCTGTCCAACTCAGGGCCCAGCAACTCCCTCCCCAGCCCAGGGGCCTGGCTCCTTTCAGGGTGGTGATGAGTTGCTCTGACATCTGTGTGGCCAGTGTCATCCTTCTTGACTTAGACAATAATTTAAGTGAGTACTACCTTTTTCCAGCCTAGACGTGACCCCTCCATACTTCTTTCCCTTGCCCCCCAAGAAAAATATGAGGGCCATTCCCAAACGCTGAATTGCATTACTAGTATTACTCCATGGAGAAAAGAAAGGAGACATCCAATAGTGCCCTCCAGTGGCCATTTAGGTGCAGCTTTAAAGACCAACTAGGGACGCAGCCCTCTTGCGCCCTCCAGTGGGTGTTAGTTATTTCGCAGGCACTGACAGCACTTAACCGAGCACCTTCGTTTCTGCCCATCTACTTCTTTAAAAACACATTTATTGAGTGCCTGTTTTGTGCCAGTACCAGGGTGGGGACAGGAATGAAGTTCTTGCATTTGAAGAACAATCTCTTGCTGGAAGACTGGGTTCAGGAGACTGCCTGGGCAGGCTTGGGAAGGACCCAGGTGAGCACAGCATCCACCAGGCTGGCTGGCAGGTAGGAGGCTGGCAGCCAGAGCAGCTTGGCGTCCCAGCCTGGGCTGTAGCGGGTTCTGGGGTGGCAAGCAGTCAAGGCATGCTCCAGGCACCTGCTCACCTTGGTCAGGTCCGGGTCACAGATGAGGTTCATGACATGCTGCTGCACTTCCAGGTCTGCAGCCCAGTGGGTGGTTGGAATCAGTGTCCCTGTCCCACTGTAGCCCATCTCGGGCCCTCTTCTGGGTCCTGAGGCTTGTTGCCCAGCAGAGATGAGAGGGATCCTTAATCCCGTCCCCAGTTACGGGGAACGGGCAGGCTCCACATGGCCTGGGTGTCCTAAAGCACCCCATTCACCCTCACCCACCCCGACTGCCCTTCCTACTTCCTCCCGGTAGGTTGGTGCAGGGCTGACCTTTCTGGCACTTTCATTCCCCCCTGTATGGGCCCAGCTACTCACACTTGGTAAGGAAGGCATCCCCATAGTTTGCCTGTGTGGCTGGAGGCAGCCGTGCCCAGCAGGCCTGCAGGGCGTTCTCCAAACTCTCCAGATTTGTCACAGAGGTTCGGAAAAAGCCAGGCTCCACGATGGAGACTCGTACTCCAAAAGGAGCCACATCCCGCCTGGAGTGGGGTAGAGGGAAGTTTTTGGGTTCTTACCCTAATAGGGTTCTTACCCAGGGACATGGGTGGGAGACTGTGATGGGAAAGTTATTACACCAGGGACAGGGGTCCTGACTAAGGGATACGCTGCTGCCCTGGGATGAGGGGCAAGTGGGGACAGAGGGAGGGAGGGAGGTTTTTTCCCTGTGTATTCTCTTCTACAACCTAGAGCAGGGGTTGGGTCTAGATAGTAAATACTTTCTGTAATGCAGGACTAAAAATTAATATTATGTAGGTACTTATATAATCATTTAAAAATGTAAAAACCTTTGTTGGCTTATAGGCAGCTGGTCAGATCTGGCCTGAGAACCATGGTTTGCCAACTCCAGCCCTCGAAGAACCCCATTCCCTAGCTCCCAAAACACAGGGTGGAGTCCTGAGTGCTGGGTAGGGAGGTGTAGACTAGTATTTGCTGGGAGGAAAGTGGGGATACATCCAACCACCCCGGCACAGATGCAGAAGTCCAAGTATAAAGTATGTGTTTCATGATGCCAATTGGAAAATTAAAAGATAGATGGATAGGGACAAAAGTAGAACCTGGTTGGTGTGGCTCAGTGGTTGAGTGTTGACCCATGAGTCAAGAGGTCCCCGGTTTGACTCCCAGTCAGGGCACATGCCATTGGGGGGAGAAGGGGCGTGTGGGAGGCAGCCAATCAATGTCTCTCTCTCACCGATGTTTCTATCTCTCTGTCCCTCTCCCTTTCTCTCTGTAAAATAAATAAAAACACATTTAAAAAAAAAGTCAATATTGAAATTACTTGCAGAGTGATGGTAACAAAGGCAGGTTTCCTTCAGAAGGTGGGTTTGGCTTGGGGGACTTGTACTTCTGCTCAGAATCCAGGCCTAGCCCTGGCCAGTGGTGGGAGCATTGTCCTGTGCGCTAAAAGGTTGCTGGTTTGATTCCCACTCAGCACATGCCTGGGTTGTGGGCTCAACCCTGGGGAGGGAGTGTGCAGGAGGCAGTCGATTGATAGATGTTTCGCTCTCACATCAATGTTTCTCCTTTCCTCTCTCTAAAAATATAAAAAAATCTTAAAATTCAGGCCCTGCTCCCATGTCATCCTTGTCAAGTCTTCACTGTGCTCTCATGGGACTTTGAACATTACCATCTAAAGATGAGGGGCAGGAGAACAGAATGACCAGGCTCAGTAGGTGAGCACAGTTCCAGTGGTCTTGGGTAAGTTATGTTACGCTACAGGTATTAATACCTACCATGAGAATTAATAAGAAAACATGTAAAGGTAGCTCATTGTAATAATCATCTCTTTATATAAAAGCCTAATATGCTAAGTGTCGGATCAATTGGTAGGACCAATTGACCAGCGGGGGCCCCCCCCCCCCCCAGTCCCTCCCCAACCGGCCAACTTCCCACAGTCCCTCCCTGGCCGGCTGGCCCCCATCGGCCCCAATCAGGACTGGGCAAGATGGCCCTGATCGGCCCCAATCGCCAGCCAGGCCAAGGGACCCCACCTGTGCACTAGGCCTCTAGTTATTAATAATACTAATAATGATAGCAGGCTTTTGGAGGTATTTTCTTTTTTGTTAATCCTCACCTGAGGATATTTTTCCATTGGTTTTTAGAGAGTGGAAAGGAGAGGGAGAGACAGAAACATCAATGTGAGAGAGATACATCGATTGGTTGTCTCCTGCATGAACCCTGACCAGGGCCGGGGAACCTGCAACCAAGGCATGTGCCCTTGACTGGAATTGGACCTGGGACCCTTCAGTCCACGGGCCAATGCTCTATCCACTGAGCCAACCAGCTAGGGCTTGGGGCATTTTCTATGTGCCAGGTACTGTTGGGCTTTACATGTATCTCATTTCACTCCCAACACCCATGACATTGGTCTTCTCATCCTGATCTAACAGATGAGGAATAAACTGGGATAAGAAAATTAACCTATTACGGTCACAAGACTCACATGAGAGGCTGGGCTATGAAGTCGAGCCCTAGACTATCTCCTCTGAAGCATTCCATGTTTTAGTAATCTTTGCAGGGCAGACACTAATTCTTTTTTGAGTGGGCTGGGAGCCTGGGGCCCTGCCCCCTCACCTCAGACTGTCTGAGAAGGCCTCCAGGCCATACTTGGAGACACAGTAGCCCCCACCATTGGCTGCCAGGCGACCCAGGACGCTGGTGATGTTGATCACCCGGCCCCGGGCCCGTTGCAGTAAAGGTAGCAGGGCAAGGGTGACCCCGATGGGACCCAGTGTGTTCACATTCAGCACCCGGTGGAAGTCATCCCTGGTCAGCCATGGTGTGGGCCCAATGACACCAGCCACACCGGCATTATTCACCAGACCGAAAAGCCCTGTGGGGGGTGGGGGAGTCACGGAGGGTAGGGCAGGCATTCCAAGGCCCCTCCTTCCTGGGCGGCCTGAGCACTGCTCCTTCCCCTCACATCCCCCCTGGTTCCCACTGCCCGTGTGAGTGAACACCCTACACCATGTTCCCAGCGGCTCAGCCAGACTCACCTGTTTCCCCAACATATGTTTCCACCCATTTGGCTGCCCGCTGGACGCTCTGGGGGTCGGTGACGTCCAGCAGGGTGGTGTGGAGGCGGGAGGAGGCAGCCCGCTGCAGGTCCTCTGCCCCCGAGGGGGTCAGGCAGCTGGCCAGGACTCGGAAGCCTCTCTGGTCCAGCCTCAGTGCCAGGAGCCGCCCGAAGCCAGAGTCACAGCCGGTGATGAAGACGAAGGCATTGCTGGGGGGCAGGCTCTGCCGGTCTCTGAGCAGCCACAGTGCTGCCCAGAGTAAGACTCCCAGCAGCACAGGCAGCCACATGGCCGAGCCCACGTGATCTGCAGGTGGCAGCCGGGCTGGTCAGGAGAACACGTGCGGTTTACTCTGGCCCTCGAGCCCTTGCCCCTAATAGCCTCCCTAGCTGGGAGTCTCCGGTCTCAGCATCTGCTTGGCAGATAAATGGCAAACTGTGCCTCCTCTAGGCAAAGCCAGGACCTGGGCAGCCCCTATGCTTGTGGGTAACAATGAAAACCAGATAAGCCCCTTCCGAGTGCAGCCTGCTGCACGGGAGCAGCAGCTCTCGTTTGCTGTCCCCTTTTCTCTCCTGCTGAACCAGGGACACCTGAACTCTCTAAATTAAGTCGGGCCTTGTTTTAGGAAACACACGGGCAAAGAGCCCCGCACTTCAGTCCCGGTGGCCCCTACCGTACTGTGTGATGCTGAGCATCTCACTGCGTCTCTGGACCAGTTTTCTCACCTGCCGGGTGGGACCAGCACCCACACGCCCACTGGGGAGCTGTGCAGGATCAGAAGGGAGAAGTGTGAGGAAGCACTTAAAGCTTAAAGTGTGAGTTATCAGCACATGCGATGCCCGGCAAGTCCGCCCAGCACCCCAGCTCCCGCCCTGCTCACCTCCTCTGGGGAAAGCTGGCAGGTGCTGCACCAGACGCTTCTTCCTTTGCTCCCAGTCCTCCCGGCTCCCGCACGAGCTACAGCTGAGGCCAAAGTCCACGGCGGGTGGACTGGGTGCCAGAGGTATTAAGTATATGTGGGGGGAAGGGGGGGAGGACTGAGAGGCAGAGTCAGGGAAGCGGAAGCCGGTCAGCCGCGGCTTGGCACGGGCCAGGAGTGCCCAGACCCCCTTCTTGGCTACCTTTTCCAGCCGGGGTTCCTGACCATCTCTGTCGTAGACTCCCAGGAGCAGGATCTATCAAGTATGACAGCTGCCCCTGCCTGTTGGTGACCCTGAACCTGTCATTTCTCCTCCAAAGCGCTCCCATACCCAAGAGTTAATCTCCCACAAGGTCCAGACTCATGACATGGCTTAGTACCGGGCTGGGAGAGGCCATGGGCACGTGAGAGGCAGAGCACCAGAGGCGGGACCAGGCCCGCTCCCTGCCTCATTGCTCCCCTGCAGGAAAGGGAAGTCCTAAGTCAGGATGCTTGCCGGGCAGGGCCTCCTGGGACCCTCTCTGGAGAGGTGTGGGAAACTCCGACTTCTGGTCACCCAACGGGCGGGCGCCTGCACCAGGTGCCTGTCCCTTAGGGAAACAGTCTATGACCCTTCCCCTCCCACCCCCCGATACTCAGCTAGTAGCTCCTTGAAATGTATCACAGAGAAATTGAGGCTTGTGTTTTATTTGTGGCCTGCCAGCCTCCCTCCTGCTCCATGGGGAGGTGGAGGGGGGAGGGGAGAGGGGCTAGGACGGGGCCGACTGCAGCTGTCCTTTGTAGACGTATTCCAGGGCAGTGGCAATGGTGCGCATGTCCATCTCAATGCTCCGAGCCCAGTTCTCCACATCCCCGATTTCCTGGGAAGAGGAAAGGGTGGGGGTCCTCAAATCAGGGTGAGTGTGGCTCTAGTGGATAAATAGGGGCACTTCCCACCCACCCCTACAAAGGGCTTTGCTAGGACCACAAGCTCCCTTTACCTTTCTCTAGCCTCTCTGACACTGGGGCCATAGATGGGGTTTCTGGGGCCACAGATGGGGTTTCTGGGGCCACAGATGGGGTTTCTGGGGCCATCCCACTTCTTCGTTAGCCCCAGGTCTGAGGTGACCCTACTGGAGGCAGCCAGTGGGGGCCCAGGATGCCGATGGTGATGTCGGGAGTGTGGCCCACCTTGAGTGCCTGGTTGAAGTTTTCCACCATCCCGATCCATTGGCCTGTCTGCTTGGCAAATTGGGCAGCCTGGACCTGCAGGGTCTTCACCTCATGGTCCAGCTTTCTCTGGTTCATGTAGGCCTGGGCCACACTAGAGGTTGGAGGAGGGAGGATATCGACCCACCCAACTGGTGAGAGTGGTCTCCAGGACTAACACCCCACTGCAAGAGTGGGAGGCCAGCCAGGGGTCAGGCTGGGGACAACCTCGTGACTGACCATGCTGGGATGTGACGCAACAAGACTAGTACATGCAAATGAACCCAGCTTCTTCCGCCCACTCCCAGGATTCTCAGGAGACCCTCGCTGGGAGCTGTGTAGAAACAGACCATCTCCTACCCCGAAGAGTTCCTGAAGCTGGGTGGGGGAAGCAAGGGCTAGCCTGGTAGGGGGATATCCCTGAGTAAAGAGCTGAGAAGAAAAAGGGGGAGATGGGGGAAGCTGGGAAAATCCAGTAGCAGGGACACATCTGGCAGCAACTGGAAGCCCAGGGATCTGTGCAAGAAGTTGGGAAGGAAACTTTGGCCGCTCCCTGAACCTGGGGTCGGAGGGAGAGCAACCCCCTCCCCAGGAACTCAGGGTCAAGAGAAGATCTCCCAGGGACTGCTTCTTGGCTCAGTCTCTCTCCCAACCTTCTCCTTCCGCCCACACAAATGAACACACATGCACACGTTCTCCCTTCCTTCCGCTCTGCTCTATTTTCTTTTCTCCTCAATCAAGGTGCTGGCTGCCATTACCATTACTGCCATGAGGTTGGTATCCTCAATTCTCTGGCCGCCTCCACTCCCCCTAACCCTCCTGCAATAATTGTGCAATCATTGTTCTCCCTTACTGGCTGGTGAATCTTTCACTACCCACCCCAAAGCTCTAGGTCAGCTGAGAGACTCCACATCCGGTGCCCCCACCCACAGGAATCTGTGGGGGCTGGAGAGGGCAAGGGGTTGGGGGTGTGGAGAGAGTGGGAAGGACACCTGACAGGGGCCGAGATAGACGGGGCCTTTGTGTTCCTTTCCGGGGAATGAGAGGAGCCGTGGGCAGCAACACAAAACCCTTTCTAATCTGGCTTTGGCTTAGCTGCCCTCTAAACTGAAAATGGGGTGGCCCCTAGCAAAGTTAGAAGAGAGGAAGAAGCCCGGGCCTACGTCCCAGCAGAGCCAGGAGGCGCCAATGTATGTGTGTGGGGTAAGGCCCTGTCCCTGGGGACAGCTGGCCACAGTAGGGGGCCGTGTAGGAGCTGAAACAGTAAGAGTAGGGGGCTCCATGTTTCCAGATTCCTCTGGGAGTTTCTAAAATCTGTTTTTCCTGTTGATCTCCTGCTCTCCACTATTCAACTGAATGGAGGGAGGGGCCTGGAGGGCAGGGCGGTCAGAGGCCCTGACCACAGCCTTTCTTGCCCTGATCTTCCCCAGAAATGAGTAATGAAGATGGCAGCCCCTGCCTGGCTCACTTGGGTGACTCAGTCTCTGGATTCACAACTATTTGCCCTGGGGTGGAAGGCATCATACTGCCTCCTTTCTTCCAATAAACGGCCTACAACCATCATCTCTGTACCCCCCCGGGTCACTCACGGTCAAGAGAATATTCTTTGCTCCTTCCCAAGTTTTTGGTTGTTATCGGCATTTTCACTTAGGACTGGAGCAGAGGGTAGTCCCTGGAGCCCGTTGGCACCGGGACAGACTTTGCAAAAAAGCCCCCGCCCCCGAGGCCCAGAAGGAAGGGCAGAGACAGCCGGGCTCTGCTGGAGCGCCTGGCAGGGGTCCTGCTCTCACCCTCACCCTCACCCTCACCAGCTGTGCCGTCTCTTTCCTGCCAGCTGCTCCCCGGGCCTGCCAGGGGGTGGGAGGTGGAGAAGGCAGTCAGCCATGGTGAAGGAGGGCACCCGCCCTCCCACCACAGTGACAGCTGGCCTGAGGGGTGCGAGGAGGTGGGCGGAGGGCATCAGGTGGTGGGCACCCCGGAGGTCACTGTGAGGAGGGAGAGAGCTGAGGGTCAGAGCTGACTCAGCCTCTCTCCTGACCGTAAGCTGGGCGGGGGAGGGAAGGGTGAGCAGCACATCCCTCCCTTCAAGAGCGGCTGCCCTCGGCCTTGCCTGCGCCTAAACGCGGGGCGGGCAGCTGGTGTGGATGGGAGGGTTCGTACCCCACATTGAGGTGGTCCACCAGAGCTTCCGTCAGGCAGGTCGCTGCAGAGATGGCCTCTCGCCTCCTCTTCTCTGCGGGGAGGAGGGGGGAGGGATCGGAGTGGCGACGAGGTGTTTTTGAGGGGGCTGCTTGAAAGCCCCCCTACTCATGACTATTCTGCTAGTTGTGGGAACATGTCAGCTGATCTCCGCGCCAGAGCTGCAAAGGACTTCGCCCAACAGAAACAGCTTTCATGTCAGAGGCGGGGAGACCGGCGCCCGGAGAGGGGAAGCGCCTTGCCCGGGGACGTCAAGGTGCAGGGGTGCAGACTCCCCGCTTCCTTGGCCTCAGGGTCGGCAACTCCGGATCCCAAGCCCGGGTTCAGCAAACAGGCGCCCACACCTGCTAAGGCCGTTTCCGGCCCCCGAGAATCCCATCTCGGGCGGGTCCCCAACACCCTCCTCCCTCCTGGAACCCCGCCCACTCCCGGGAGGAGCGGCCGCCGGGGCCAATCGGCACAGCGCCCCCGGAGCAGGGGCGGGACTACGAGGCCGGCGGCCCAGCCGAGGGGCGTTTCCGAGGGGACACGGGCGTCGCTAAAGGGACTGGAGCCCGTTGGCACCGGACGGACTTTCCAAAGAAGAACCACCTCCCCCTCCTCCGACGCCCGTGCCCACGAGCCCGCGCCCTTCCCTGGATCTGGGCCATTACTCGAGGTCCAGGCTCCGGGCTGAGGCTAGGCCGCGGCGGGAGAGGACGCGCAGGCGGACAGGCTGTGGGCTCACCCTGCAGCTCCTTGCGTTCGTTCTGCTTGGCCTGGTGCTCCTTCAGCAGGCGGGACAGCATGG